GCGGCGACACCCAAAAAAAAAAAAAAAAGAAGTGCGGCGCGGCCCAGAGGGACAGCGAAGCGGGAGACTAACACAAAGTCGAAAACGAGAAGCGGAAGAGGAGAAGGAGAGAGTAGAGAGGAGAGAGTAGGGAGGAGAAGGGAGATCTAGCAAAGGGAACGAAGAGAGAGAGAGAGAGAGTAGGTAAGCAAAGGCAGGAAAGGAAGAGAGGAGGAGAAGGGAGACTACAAACAGCCGAGAGAGACGGAGGAGAGAGAGAGAGAGAGAGAGAGAGAGAGAGAGTAGGGACGAGGGAGATCAGGAAACGTATAAAGAAGGCAGGAGAAGAGAGGGAGAAAATGGAAGGATGACACGCAGGGGGTCAAGAAGAAGAGGAAGAGACGCAGGGGGGGGAGCAGACGAAAATAGCAATTTTGGGAGAGGGAGTAGGAAAGGCGGGGGACGTTACAAGAAAAGAGAGAAGATCACCGTCTTCACCCAAATAGACGCCCGGGTGATTCTCGCTGTACTTGGACTCAGAATTGATGCACAATTCGGAGTGTCGCACACTTCGGAGTGTCGGACAATTCGGGCGTTCTATTCGGATGAAGACGGTAGGAAATGGCGATGGGAGTGTCGCACAATGTGGCACATTGAGACGAGCTGTAGCTGATAAAGGAGGAGGCAGCGGGGAGGAGGAGGACAGGAGGGAACAAGGAGGAGGAGGAGGAGGGGGAGGAGGAGGAAGATCTGCAGACTTAAGAAGAAGGCAGGAGAAGAGAGACGACCATGAAGGGAGGGGACAACACGCACGGGCCACGAAGGAGGGAATGTCGCACATAGCGATGGGAGTGTCGCACATAGCGATAAGTGAGCCGCAGACGGCCTCACCTTGAGACGAGCTGTAGCTGATAAAGGAGGAGGCAGCGGGGAGGAGGAGGACAGAACAGAACAACGAGGAGGAGGAGGGGGAGGAGGAAAATCTGCAGACTTGAGAAGAAGGCAGGAGAAGAGAGGCGCACATGAAGGGAGAGGCAAACACGCAGGGGGCAAGGAGGAGGATGTCGCACATAGCGATGGGAGTGTCGCACATAGCGATGGGAGTGTCGACATGGGAGTGTCGCACATAGCGATGGGAGTGTCGCACATAGCGATGGGAGTGTGGCACAAGCGATGAGAGTGTCGCACATAGCGATAAGGGTGCCCCAGAGGGCCTGACCTTAAGACGAGCTGTAGTTGATAAGGCCTCCTCGTTGCGCAGGCCGATCTCTAGCCGCATGGCAAGCTGATCCGCGCTCCACGTAACCCAGATACAATAGGCAGAGATGCTGACTCGACGAAAACTTCGTCGAAGTTCCTTGAGCTTTTGAGAAAGATCCCCTCCTTCTCCTTCTCCTCCTCCTCGTCCTCCTGCAGCAGCTGCTTCTCCACCTCCCCCACCCGCCCATGCTCCTGAGTCAGACTTCGACTTGCCGCTCCACCATAGCCGACCATCTTCCAGCATCATACTACTACCTCCTCCTCCTCCTCCTCCTCCTCCGTCGGTATCTCTCCATCTCCCCGCTGCGCCCAAGATCCTCCGTCCAGGCGCAGCCGCGCGCCGCCTCTGCTGCTGCTGCTGCTGCTGCTGCTGCTGCCCATGAATCCCGACCATCCACCACTCCATCGTCGGCCCTAATATCAGCGGTAGATATACAGAGAACTTACCTAATCCAGAGCACAATCTTCCGATAAACAGTGCCCTCTCGACGAGGCGGGAAGCTCTCTCTCTCTTCTCCTCATCACTCTCTCCCTCCTCTCCTCCTCCTCCCAAATTCTCCATACTGGCCGATAATCTATCGAGCCTCTCCTGTAACTCTCTGACAATCCCTTTGGCAGATTCGAAGCAGCGTTCTCGTAAGAAAGGCGCGAGAGCATTCACTCTCTCTCCCAACTCGCTCCCACCACCTCCCACTGCGCCTACTCCACCTCCTCCTCCTACACCTCCTCTCTCCTCCGCTCCGTCACGCACTAGCAGAAACACCGTGTCCTCCAGGATCTCCTTGAGAGCTGAATCCCAACCGTCCCTCAGGCGAGCGACGTTGGCTCCCAGCGGCGCGGACGAAGCGGAGAACAGGGAGAGAGAGAACGACGCAGAGGGGGAGGAGGAGGTGGTTGTGCTGCTGCTGCTGCGGCCGCTGCTGCTGGCCGGGTCGAGAGTACCCCCTCCCCCTCCTCCTCTACCTCCTCCTCTCAACCACTCCTCCTCCTCCCCGCCCCGCCCATCTGCGACGATACTCCATGCCATGCTCCCAATATCGTCCACCTCTCTCCACTCATCTTCTCCATCCTCCACAGCCCCTGCGCCTGACATCATGTCCGCCATCATCGCCTCCCCACCGCTCCGCATTCCTCCCCCTCCTCGCTCCCTTCGCCTCCCCCTCCGTCCCGATACCGCCGACCCCTCCATCCGTCTGCGCCGCGGCGGCTCGATCCCGACCAACACCTCGTCCACCTTCTTCGCCAGTGACAGCTCCTCAAACGATGCACTAATTATAGCCTTGGCCCTCTCTACCACAATCGAGTCAAACAAGACCTGCCAGAGGTCAACGGGCCCCTTAACTACGAGCTCACAAACACTAGACCACGGCGAAGCGAACACATCAGGGCCAGCGGAACCGAAAGCCGCCGCCAACCACTCTTTGCTCTCCTCCATCGCCTCCGGTTTACTTATCTCCTCCCTCACCCATTTCTCCATCTCCGCAAGTTCCCGCCCCTTCCTTATCTTCCCGATCAACGCCCTCCCCTCAACGGCTATATCTTCGGCGCACGCAGATAACCACCTGTAGCAAGATTCTGCGACAATCTTCCCCGACAATGGGGTCAAGGTCGACTCAAGCCTCTCTCTGTAACCCTTCCACAACTCCACCTCCCTCTCCGGTTGGGGGATTCCACCGAACAGCTGTGAGGGAGGGGCAGAGGTGAGGGCAGTGCTGAAGAGGAGGGCAGGTTTCGCTGGCGACACTTCGAGGAAGAGCTCGCCCACGTGGCAGAGAGAGGTCTGGATCAGAGCTGCAGCTGCGGCGAACGCCTGCGCAACAGACTCCCAAGCGGCGGGGGCGGCAGAGGAAGGGGAGGAGGAGGAGGAGGAGGAGGAAGAGGAGGGAGGTGATGAAGAAGAGCGGAGCTGAGCCCTCAAGCCTGATCGTTGAGAGTCGAGGAAGAGAGAGAACACCTCCCCTGAAGATAGATTACCCTCGATGACTGCCACGGCAGACAAGGCAACGGCGTAGTCCCCAACGGTTAGTCCCCTATCTTGAACTCTGTCGCGGCTCTTTTGTCGTATCTGGTTCCTGAAGCTCTCGACCAGCATCCATTGATGCCGCAGCAAGGGAAATGACGACAACAACTCCCCTTCTCCTCCTCCTCCTCCTTCGACGGCTTTCCTTCCTCCTTCGGTATCGCCGTCGACAGTGCCGACCGCATCCCCTACTCCTCCACCGGCGGCAATCAGCAGTTTGTGAACCTCCCTTGCTCTCAAATACCTCTCCGCGGCCTCAAGGTACATGTGCTCGTCGAGACAGCCCCATATTTTCTCCGGGGTGTCGACTAAGTATTTCACTCTGCTACTGATGGCATACAATCTCTCCCTCCTCGCTCTGACATCTTGAGTCTCGCGGGTTACTGACACCGTTGAGATGCTCTTCTCAAGGCGAGAGAACGCCCCCTCCATCTCCCCAAGGTTGGACGTCACGGCTTCGCTGAATTTCCTCATCTTCAATATGGAATCGGCTGACTCAATCAGGTCCCGATAGCTTGCGCCGACCAGTTGCCGCAGCTCCTCCTTCTTCTCCTCAATCTCCTCCCTTGTCCGGACCTCGACCTGGCGGATCTCCGCCACCGAGCGCGTCTCAAACAACACCTCCGCATTGCGCAGACTCCCCCCTCCATCTTCGCTGGTCTTCTGCTGAAAACGCCCCCCCCGCATCCTTCTCTCTCTCTCTCTCTCTCTCTCTCTCTCTCTCTCTCTCTCTCTCTCTCTCTCTCTCT